AAAATAAGTCTTCTTGCGCAAGAAATGATCTTTGGCAAGTAGCAAACAGTCTTCTTAGGGGAAACAATCTCAATGACTTCACACAAAAACTTTTTAAATGCTAGCTGAAATGAGGGATAGCAGACTAGTATGTTGTAAATATTTGATTCTTACTTTCGGTAACCCTGCATAGAAGGACAATATTAAACCAAATGCTCCCGTATTAGGAGAATCAGTAATGTCAACTTGTTGGTGGTTATCAGTTTGTATCATGGTGTACAAATTTCTATATATGTGTTCACATAATCACAGGAAACGGAATAATCATTGGTTCGGTCAGCTGCCAAACAGGGTGTTTGGGGACGGAAATTGAGAAAATTATATCTAGGATAGGCGTGGATATCGAAGTTTTCCCGAGAAATGTATATCAGCGTAACTAAAGTAGGTCATCTGACACTCTGAAATACTTTCAATGACCTTAATTCTGATTGTCCACTCAATAAGTAGATGCTAATCAGACTGCATGGTGCTTTCAAGTTCATGGTCTCCACTAAAGGAGAATCAGCCAGTAGACAACCCCAGCCTTGGCGAGTTTTTCGCTCTGTGCGTCGCATTCATGACCAAGCGTCATTTGGACGAATTTAGCCTCCGACAATCTGTCTTTTATGTTCGAACCTGAATTTTTCGATTCAGTTGTCAGTACATACTCATCTGAATAAACTAACAGGTGGACAATCTGAATAAGTGGTTCGGATCTAGGTAGGCCAACGTGGCCGACCTGAAGCTGCCACGTTGTCGTGGTGGTCTCGATTGATTGTTTCAATGATCCTGCGGGCTATGTTAGATGCAACTCAGTTCTTAAAGTTTCAACCAAATTAAAAACGCCGGAAAACGAAACATAGTTGTTTACTACTAGGAATCGTACTGCGAGGCGGTCTAGAGGTAAAACCCCACTGTTCTCTGCGGCATAAGTGTAAAGGCAGTAAGACATTTCCTTCAGGCCACCAGTATATCTATACTTGCGGAAGCAGTGGGGCTCTCTTCCCCCGGAGGAGGACGGTTAAAAAAGCTCAGCCCTAGAAGCTGCATACTACGATCGCTCAAATGTTGACCGTAGCCGCTAGCGAATTATCAAATACTGTCGGAATACTTTTAAGACCACAGAGTCTAGTGCTGTTCAGAAGAAAACCACTGTACGCAGCCTCATTAAGGGTTAGATAATTATGCCTTACGCCATGCAGTTGGGTCAAACTTTTGTAGCCGAGTGTTTCAGACTATTGAGTCATTCGCTCTGGAGAGCAACCGCTGTCTCATCGTTAAGACTTTTGAGCCAGAGGCTAGAGGAGGGTCCTCGAACAAAACCCTTCATCCTTCCACTCCTGGTGGGTCAGACGTTTGAGTTAAAGGCCGAAGTTGGGGTATCTCATTTAAACCACCTCTTTGGTCCCTTCTAACAAGTTTTCGTTCACCGACTCCTTTATGCACTACCATCAGTGAATTCCTCCTGACTTATTTGGCTGCCAGTCACCTGACTCTTTTTCGGTATGATATTCAGTTATCAATGGACAGCTTCGATATAAGCTTGTCGTTCATTTACAATCACAGCACTGTGAAAGCACGCACATCTGTTGGCTTTCCCTCTGGAACGCGCCGGTTGATGCAGACATTCAGTTCACCATCCGCAAAACGTCAGTTTAGCCTAACGACATCCAGCTGTTAGCTGAGAAGCTGTCAGAACTTGACCGGAACAATGGTAATTCTGAAGATGATTGGAGTAGGGTAAAAGAGGTTATGCTCACAATTTCGAAACTATCTGTTTGAGGACCCATGCCAACTTCAATGAAAGTGGATCTCGTTACGGTCATTAGCTCCGACTGAAGTCACGAAAACTATAACAGCAACAAATAACTGACGTGGCACATGTAGATCCATTAAATGCCGAATAGTGAGGGGCCTAAAGATTGACAGGGGGCACTGGAGGGTTGCAAAAGCACGGGAGACGGAAAAGCTTTTCCACCAGGAAACATGCCATCCAGATGTTGGTAATCAAACCAACTGATTTACCGGCGGCGCGTATCAACGAAACTACCTTAGATAAGGATGGGACCTCGATCTAACCATAAAAAGCCCTCTTGAACGATGGGTTGCACACTTTAAAGAGTAGTGCACCTAGACCGCGCCAACTCACCATCTGATAAAACTAACCGAACCAAAGCGAGACCTGAATGACAACCCATCATCGATGCCAGAAGTCCAGCGTGGAGTTTCATTGCTTCCGTGCAACAAAGCATCTGGATCAGACGGTTTGCATCCTGTACTCTTTAAAGTAGTTGGCAAGTCTGTCGTCGCCAGTCCAACGACCTACTTCAGAAGGTATGGAATTAGGGGAAAATCCTCACAGAGTGGAGCGCTTCAACAGTGATTCTCATGTTGAAAAAGGATTACAAGGACATCTTACGGAAACACTTGCGGTTATGTCTAGTGGCAGTAGCTTTCAGGATATTCTCTGACATTATGCTACACAGGTTGATCCACCATCGAAAGTTTCGCACTGAGCTTCGCCCTGCTTGAGTTGCAACCATCATATCTTCCCCTCGCGGTAAGTTTTGAAACTGTGCTCTTTTTTCCGACGACCGACAATGATCTTATTTCTTGATATCAAATCTGCTTTTGACTCCGGTGATCGTCAGAACCTGTGGTGTTGTCTGGCGATGAAGAGTTTCCATATACGCCCCCTCCCGTGGGAGCATACGTGTCTATGGCATAAGTTTCATTGAGTTCACGACATCCAGTAGTGTCGGGCGAGAATACTCTGTGTCGCCCTTTCTCTTAAACCTCATATTTGATATCCTGCTTGAATTTCCTTCACACGCTTCTAGCACCCCGGGGATCGAAATCATCCGCGGTCGTTTATTCAGGAATGATATTACTCCTCTAGGGTCAAACCCCTTAGAAATGCAAATGATTTTAAACGGCTAAGTGATTCTACTGCGCAGCTAGGGATGCATTTTGCTTCTCTAAAGCGTAAAATACTGCTGCAAAACTATGTAGGATCAAACGCAGAATCCATGCATGCATGTAAACCGATCCATGTAGCAGATAAGTTTGTCTGAGCAGTCGCACAGGTCAGGCCGTCTGGTGAAAGACGAAATCTATTCCCAAATTGGGAAGACCAGGCTAGCGTTTGGCTGTCGAAGATACAGCGTAGAATGCTGTGGTTCGGTATGTTCTACTTTATGGATCGGAGATTTGACTGCTGCATTTGGACGACCTTCGAAGTACTGCTACCTTTGACCATCGGTAGCAGAGCATTACGCGAGTCCGATGGGAACATCAGATCAGTAACGCTCAAGTGTGCCAGGTGTGTTTGAAGAAAGATCATTTAGTCACTCGCAACAGGCTGCGCTTGTCAGATCACGTGCTTTATGGGTCGGAGTACCGTTTGCCCCGAAGAGTCCTCTTCCCCCAGCTTTGTGTCACGTGGAGGCGACCCAGGGGCGGTCATGAAGCATGAAAGCCATTACCAGTCAACTCATTCGCTTTGGTAAATGCCGTCTCTCGGGTGTTGGCGGGGGGGGGGGACCGCGGGACGAGACAAACCAGCAGTTACTGGTTCTGGCTGAAATGGTTTTTACAAGCAACCGCTGACGGTCTTGCATCAAAGTTGTGGCTTTTATCGCCTAGGTCTCATTCCCCGCAACATCGGACAAAAAGAAGTATCTGACGTCAGTGAACTGATTGGACCGCTGCCTTCAAAATGTGACTCTCATTCCATCATTCTCCTTACCCTCCGTCGATGAAGCTGTAGCACCTAGAACCACTTCATCTCGGTGCAAAGGTTTTTGAGCTGAAAATCCCAACTGAACTAAACCGAATTGAACGGAAGCCAGCAAGCATTTTTCGGTTGCTATACACTACTAGCAAGTTTGAAAACCAGATGTATATTGGTATTGAAGCATCTCCTTTCAGAACCGACAAAAATTTTTAAAGTGGTATGATGTAGAGGCAGATCACTCGTAATCAGGGACTTAAAGGTAAGGTCACTATTGATGGAAATTCTTAGTAGGCTTTCAAACTGCTCCTACGTTTAGCGTCCTTGGTTGAACCAGTTCGGACAAACGGAACTCAAATTTGAGAACAGCAGTGTGACAATGAATGTGGTCTTCCTAACCAGTAGGAAGGAATTATTGTCAAGATTACAGCTACCTTTGAATTCTTCGTAGTAAGTCATATCATTAAATCCGGATTACGGCAGCGAAGTACCGGTATTGAACACTGATGTATGCTTGTCGATGATGATGATAATGATGATGATGATGATGATGATGATGATGATGATGATGATGAGGATGATGATGATGATGATGATGAATTACTGAATACCAATTAGCTATTAAATTACCCATAATTTGCACTGTAGCTAACAAAATTTTTTCGCTCAGTTGATCTAGGAAGCCATTCATAGTAATGTGACCAAAACACACGTTGAAATGGTGCTATATGATTTTGCATGATCGTTCAACTTCTATGGGGTTTTTAATTGGGTTTAAAGGATTTCTGAATATAAACGATGCTGACCATGTCAAGTAAGTCCATAAAACAGACCACGGATATTTTAGTAGGATAAAGATTAGAAAACTATCCAATAAACACATAAAGAAAGGAATCGGCCATTGTAAGTTTTGGGTAAAATGGCGGACTGTTGTGTTGCACGAAGAGCAGTTCTCGCATTCGGCGAAGTTTGTGTGGAGCAACACTCCCAACGACTTAGTGGTTGGTCTGGTAAAAGGCAGACAACACTGTCGCTTCATTTCTCAAATGTGTTCGTATGCATCCCGTACTCCATTGATTAGGTTGCATTTTTCTACCCCCGTTTAATACCGAGGGTGTGTATCGACCGGTTCTCGAACGAGGCAGTCAGCCAAACTGCGGATATTTGATTGGTTGATTGGCCGTAGGAAGCTATCAAATAATGTTGCATGCTGAGATGGTTCTGAGCCCACTTGGGTTGTCAATATCCACCTCATGGTGGAGACGGTTTGGACGGGCCATTAGAAAATCCGGGTTAGTTCTGAAGTCATGAGTTTTGGAAACTTTTTGAGGCGTCTTTCGACCGATTTTGAAAAGTCACCATCAACTCATGAGTCGGCTCAAACCAGTGAGAACACTGGAGGCATTAATTCCATTTTTTCTACACCTGGAAAGTTGTTAGATTCAATGAATGTGAAGACCAGTCATTTGGTCTCCGAAATGAATCAGAAGCTCGATTTGGGTGGAAGGCTTGATAATTTAAAACAAGCATCGATAACGAAATTGGAACATGTTGTTCATGGCACACTGAGTCAAAAGGAAGCAACGAAGCCGGACCAAGAGAGAACAAGTTTTGAAGCACAAACTGTGCACGTCAACCCATTCAATGAAGGGGAACAAAGTGCGACTGATAAGTCACTTCGCCGTCAAAGTACACACACTGGTACGAGGCCTCCTAGACCACCTCCACCAAGTGCGGTCGCGCTGAGCAGAGCAATGAGCTTGGATGAAACTAATTTATCCAGAAATAAGCCTGAAGAGCGAAAGTTGAGCAAGAAGGGAGGACTGTCCCCAACACTCGAACCTGCCAAAGAGGCTGAAGAAGAACGCTTTGGTGGCAACAGACCTGCAGAAGACAGCCTCTCTACGGAACAAAAACGAAGCTTCTCAGAAAGATCCGTTGAAGATGATGACGGAGATAGTTCAGCTTCCGAATACGGTACTTACGGGGACCAGCCAGTATATAAAGCAGAGGCTGAGGACTACGACCAACATTCCACCCAGAAACGAGACAATGATGTGCGTACCGCAGAAGAACTGGATGAGATATCATCAAGTCGCGTAAAGGAAGTAATGAAAACTTGTGTACCGGCCTTACTACATGGCAGGTAGGTTAATTAGGAAACATTTATCTACTGTATTTCAAGTCCCAACCATAGCATAAATGACTGGTTTGGTTCACTCTTTGCCAAAAAAAACCCCTAGACACGTTCATTCCCTCTAATCACCGGGGCGAATTCGGCCTCTCTTTTCTCAATATGCATACATATATATCGTTGAAAAATCTAATCATCACTGATTTCATAGCTACCGAACATGTAACGTTCAAATGTCCACAATCCTCATGAGCAGCATGATGCATATTGAAACGGAAACAGCCTATGATGAAAGGTTATTGAAGGATAGATCGATAAATAATGTGGTCATTCAGTGAACTAGCTGGTGGTGTGCTGTTGTCAAATGGCACTGCCTCCGCGGACATGGGCAGTGTACGCGAAACCATTGTTTGCTATATCTCAGAGGTGCAAATGAGTGATTGAGTAATGCAATGGTGCGAAAATTTCACGACTAATTCTTCCCAATCACAAAAGTGGGAGGTTTTTCGGTATCGTAACCGGGCATTAGTATCGTGAAACCTCACCTTCTCAAGCTACCCGCCCTTTCGAATCGGCCGTTTATTCCCAGATAGCTCTCATGGATCTTAATAAGTGATTTACAGGGTTTCTGCTTGTAACATTCAGATTATGTTTTGCCTCAGTCCAAACAGACTCTCGTTCGTGATCGAGCGCTCAATTCCGATAGTTCCTACGGTGTTCAGCTGCTAAAGCATCTGTTTTGGATTGCTCTCTAGTAGGCCAATATAAGGCCCAACATGTTTGATCGGGGAATATTGACAAGCAAGCATGTGCAACTTGTTACATAAATTACACATAGCAGTTGTGGGATCGATTGGATTTGTAACCAATAAAGAACATATTCACCTAATCAGATGTGACATTCTCGGCACGTTAGGCGAAAACCGTTCAGCTATCCTTCGCGCAGAACCGTTGTGCTATTTTCTGCATACCTCAGTTCCATAGAAACACATAATCCTCAGAAATAAAAAGTGAATGGATAGTTACTGAGTACGCGCGAACTGTATGGATTCAGAAACATCGTAAATGGCAACAAAACTACACAAAACCCAACGAATAATGCCTACAGGCATGGGCAACGAGGTGCTTGCGAGCCAAGTACCAAGCTCAGCAGATTGATCAGCTGTCACCTGATTGATCTACCTTTGTTTAGATATACTATCCTGGAGGAAACCGACCATGAGAACTATACAGCCCATTTTGGTAAAAACAAGCTAATGTCATATTTCGGAGGTAGTATCTTTATTTGAATTCTGTTTAAACTACTTTTGCCGATGATAGGTACTATTTGATTTCAAGTGCTACCTCCAAAGTCATTTAAACGACAGCTCCTTAAATCGGTAGGAAAAAACTTATGTAAGTCTTCAGCCTTGGGATGTAAACCGGAAGAAGTATCGATGTACAAAGACTACGCGTAACTATCAGATAGGCAACACCTAAAATGAACCTATCAAAGGAGGCATTTGGTCAATTATTAAGCAGTTAATCCTGATGCTTTCTGGAAAATTTAAGAGGGTTCAGTAAACTGATACCTAGAAAGTTGGATTGATGACCACTGTGGGTTGCGTTTATCCAGAAAAAGAGTGCGTTAAAATCTGGAATATGTTGTTTTCAAAAGGGGACAAGGCAGACACAGAACATGTCTCATGTTGCTCTTCCCTAAAGAACACGAAGGGAATGAAGGTTGCGTGTTTGGACGGTTGATGACGGCAGTAAGGAATCGCATTTCTCGGAGGTATAACTAGCAAGTGCCGACCTTCAGTGAAGACGAGTACTGAATATGGATGATCCAGATGGTTTAATGTGCTATCAACACGAATTCAGGTGAAGATGAGGCTTCGTTAAGCAATGTTATCAAAGAGGCTACAAGATCTTATGGAGTACAATATCTGCGCGAAGCAAAATCGCTTCGGTACTGTAGAAAAACAGTCAGACGACATGATGATGCGTGAGTTTAGTTAATTATTACTTCACCAAATATACCATACGATAAACCGCGGTAAATGGTGCCTAAGTTCGAAGACATGCGTTTATTGGTTGACGGTTAAATAGACTTATATAATCCGAGACTGGCCATATCAATGGTTACAAACATAGCCAGACATGGCCCAGTCGCACCCTCAGTAGCGCTCATGCATCCAAGCTATTGCCTTCAGTGCACAGCTACTTTCCCAATTCCTCCACCTAACAGTCAACCTACAGTGCCGTATTTACGCACTGATTTGTCAGCTTCCGCCTCCAATGCGCAGCTATCTACCCCACCTCCCCGAATCATCGGTGAACGAAACTGTGGCAGCTAAAACCACTGTACGACGATTAAGCGGTTATTCCAGCTGACAATGATGATGATGACAATGACAATCAATACGTAATCATGTTTCCAGAAACAAAACCAAGAGAGCCTAATTACGTTCCTGTTGTACGGTGTCTTGTGACTAACTCAAATTTGAAATCGGTTTTTCATTACAAAGGCTTAACTTAATGGAAGATTTATTCACACTGCAGGCATAATTGATAAAAAAGCAATCGTAGTGAAAGAGAAAAAAGAAACCGTGGTAATGGTGAGTGGTTCGCCTGCCTGCTCATAAATACAAATTTACAGTAGTTGACAAACCAGATTAAGCAAGGTCAACCTTGTCGTAATTGATCGCTGAGAGGAATTTTTGCCACCAAAATGATCTATGGATAAGTGGGGTGATAAGCAAAGAGCCGACTCTCGTTTGCAAGTTCTCCAGTATATTGCTGGAACAATGTTGCCCGTACGACAAAGTGGGATAACTTTTCGTCATATCAAAGTGCAGCTTTGAGGGCGTTTCTTCTTGCCGAGTGAGTGTTTCTTGGTTCTATGGGAGATCATTCTAGATTATCACGCCAAATTCAAAATGAGTCATTTTTGTAAGAACACTGGAGTAAAAAGTGACAAAGATAAACATTTATAACTTCCAAAATTGTGTAAATACCCATGTCGTGCTATTTTCCTTTTCCTAAAGGTCCAAACATATTAGCTTGCGCGCAACCGATCCTAAACCATTCATCACGCTATGTGTTGCCGCATCAACCATAGCCTACTTGTTTAACCGGATAGTGTTACAGAGATGCTGACGACGACAATAACAATATTACGCTTACTTTTGCTATTTAGCTTTTACCCAGTCACAGATTTCTAATGTGTGCTCCAGTGCAACTTAGGTCTCCGTGCCAGTTAGACAGCATTTTAGACAGAAGTTCCTTGTTCATGATTATCTGAAGTCAGTACATTGATTTTATTAAATTCTCTTTGCGTGGCTCATAAATACTCTTAACAGTTATGTCACTCTCAGTGCGTTGCGCCTAAGAATAAGGTGACCTGGTCAGCGGTGAGTATATGAAACATAAACACCCATTTATTATTATTATTAATAGGTGAAACGTATTTGATTGCAAAGAAGATCACTACAAACAAGATGTAACCACATAGATGAGAGTTTAAACGTCTAAAACCCATGAATGTGACTGCTCCCTTGCTTGACATAAATATATCACCTACAATGTTTTCGTTGAGTCTTACATTAGATTCTTTTTTAGGTACCAAGAAGTGCAAAATTTTGACCCTGAACTTCAGGAAATGCTCGGAGTAAGTCCTCATAATTCTGTGCACCGTAGCGTTGTTCTCTCCAAAAAAATTGGAACAAATGGACTATCAGGTCATCGCACTGACCTATAATCTTGTTCTTATTTATTTTCATGAACCCTTACGATCCCATTACTTCAAGTGTGGTTTCGTGAGTAGTTTGATGGTACACCCATAGACACAGTTGAATATTATCATCACAATGCACAAAAGAAATGAATAGAATGGACCTCTACTAATAACAAACACTTTAGTTTATGCTAGACCAAAAACTTCACTTATTTAAAACTACAATCCATCAACGCACTTCACGGGCGATGAACTCGTTTCGACATCTTTGAGTCTAAGACATCATAGGACTTAATTCTCGCTAAGCTGTTGAACTTGCGGTTAATTTTGACTTCTTTCTTGAAGAATCGTATAGCAGCAGTACTTAATTCATAGCGAAAAAAATGCTTGAGATGCAGATAGACACGCAAGTCATTTCGTCCGATAAATCCTTAGCCAACTACTCGTGAAGATATCTCCAGATTACGTCATCTTTATTTCTTAAAACGATCGTAATCACAATGTTTGGATGGTACTACTTTGGCCATTTGTTAAAAATTTATTAGTTATGTTGGACTTCACTGGTGAACAGTCAGATGATCGTCAATGAGTTCTGCAAGTACGGCAATACGGTTGCAAGTGTTCTGTCACCACTCGAATAGAGGTCATTTTGACGCTGCTTTAAATGGCCATACAGTCAATTTCATCGCTCTCTGAGCCTGAAGCCGTTGACAAGTTTTTTTTCTCTGCAAGAATAGGGAGGTAGAGATGGATCTGTATTTCTAGTAACCAAACCTAATTTTGAGAGCAAATTCCCACCAGTACAAATAAGGAAGACAAACGACGGACCACTGTTGCTTCGAGGGAACAAATTCGCTTTGCATTGTAGCCAAGTATAACAGTGGTATAGACTGTTGTTATGAAAATAAATTCTTGGATATTTGAAAAGGTTTGGAACCGGTTAAGAAGTCATCGTTTTAGAATGGCTTGGTACACAATTGGCAGTTTGTAAGTGGGAACGTTTCCGCTTTTAACACAGAAGCTTGGCCTGATGAAGCATTTGTGTCAAAAGCGAAACGTTACCCAGTTATAAAATGTTAATTCTTTACCAAGCACTTCCAAAACGAAGTTTTTGGATAGTTTCGTTGAATTTTAATTGCTTGCACTAAATTTGATATCTATACATCAAAATATTGTCGCAACAATAAACGATAACTTTAGGAAGTGACTCGTGAAAGATACAATTAACAAGCAATGGTCACAAAATCAGTCACGACGCGTTTTCATTACATTTTCATCTGACAACATATCAGCAGCAAAAGGCGTGCTATCTCGTTGAGGCAGCTTAAAGCAAAAACTTTTTCACTGTACGCCCGGTTTCTTTGTGAGAGCTGGATAGAAATCAGCAGGGCGGTAGTATGGACAAGCGCAAATGCATGCATATCAGACAGATATAGCCAAAAACAAATTACTGCGTGAAACTAGCCGCACACTGATATAAATCTCTCTATAGCAGTTAGTTTTAGGATGAATGTAGTGCGACAAAACTTCTTCCTAATTGATCTCGTAACTTGGTCCTAAGGGCTCTTGAGTTGACCGTATTCTCACGGATCGCAACAACTTTTTTTCAATCTAAGAACGCTCTCAAGAAGAATGCTCACTAGTGGACGTTACTTAAGAGCAGCTCCTCCTCGTGTCTTATTTTTAAAGAGTATCCCGCTAGTCACAAGTGTTGATAAAACACTCAATGAAGTCTAATAGTCGAATACCCACAATGCCAAATTTACACTGTTAGAACGTTGTCTTTGCGAACCTTGATGTTTACTTTGTCTGATAGAAAAAATGGTGTTAAGTGGTGTGATAAAAAGTTGCTGTTAACCACCGACGTAGGAAATCTCTCTCTGCGCAGATTCGTAAGCCATTCCCACAAATAACACCAACGGCCCCTACAGGGTTTCAAATTAAACAATTTTCTCAGCCAAATAAGCCAAATCATGAAAAAGTAGGGATAAAACTTAAACTTTGCCCTACCTGAGAGAACATGATGCCCACTGCACAAAAGTTTTGGTAACCTAGACCTCTCGTGTCACATTGCACAAGCACTATCAGAGCGTTACATACAAGGGATGTTTGGGAAGGGATTCATCAAATAATTGACTTGGGACAATTGCACTCGACGCAATTATGAAAACTAATCTTAAAACTAATAGAAATGGTTAGTTATCATATGCATTGCGTTCTAGATACTGGTGCGCCGTTCTGTTCAGCGGACTGCGAAGTGTATATATGACCAATAAAAAGTGACCGCGAATAGGCTTGCGGCATGTTCATCCAAGATTTGCAGCTCAAAACTATACATCGGGAATGCTTTTGTCGTATCCCACGTTGTTATTAATTTATCACCCTAAACAATTGACACAATTTTCTCCTTTAAAATTTTTTGCCACCCGTAAAACCACTTTTGTCTCCATACGCACTTTAGGACAAACGGTACGTAGTTGCATTATGGTTCGTGAAAATAAGCCGACAAATTACAAACCGCCTGTTGCGAAACAAAATCATGTCACAAGGTTACTTGGCTTTGGTCAACTTTGAAGCGAAGCATTAAATCACCTGCTATGAAATATGTTGTTCAAGTTTTTTGGGATATATATGGTCTGACTGAGAGTTCACTACCCTGCTCATTGATACTACCTAGCTTGATTTCGCTAGATAAACCGTACTTGGAACTGTGAGGTGATTTGTCCGCTCGCACTACACATGATTTCCAACAATGATGGATACCGTAAAGTTTTCTGGTACATATGTCGAAAGTAAAAGCTGGTCATCGACTGAATCGAATTCACAGAATATTGTCTGTTAGCGTTCTTGCTTGGCAACTGAATTTCAATCTATCACTAAAAATCCACTACCCTGTATTTTAATATTCTTACCTAATAGCACCTCCTCCGATTAGAGGACTTGAACATTCTTACCTTATCTGGCCACTGACAACTTAAACTGGCATTAGATAGACGTCTGTATTCATGATGTAAGTGTAGATATTTGGATATAAGATCTAAATATCTAAAATTCGTCAGCCAACAGGAAATAAGATAAGGTGGCTAAAATTGGATAGGAAATAGGCGAAATACACCTATTTATACAAGAAATAGACTTCGTCATCGAAATTTGATCAATAGATGACGTGATCAGCAATACACAAGTTAGCAGGCATTTCGGTTTTGATTCTGCATTGCTTCAAGTTTGTCATGTGATTTTCATGCGAGGAAAACTTATCTATAGTTTCGAAAAAACATGCAAAATAATATGCTGATACCTCATTGGAAAGACGGAAGACACTCATTGCCCCATAGTGTGCAAAACACTAATTTTGCACTTGATGATTCTGTCGATGGCAAAATTCTGCCAAAAAAAGTTCCTACAGTCAGCACGTTTACCCCAAAAGCGTGCAGAAATTGGAAAAGGCAAAATCGTTTTTAGGCGTTGGGACAAATTATCGTAAGCATTTTCTCCATTGAGTTCAGCAAAAATACCCTCTCTGTACCTAGGCGTTTCGCATCCATCCCTTGTTCTATTGAGGGTTTGCCACTCTACTCCAAACGTTTCGTGCAACTTGTATTCAGCATCTTCGCAAGGCAGTCTACAAATCATATGGCTTCATCAATCGGTATCCCATCAACTCAACAGTGTGGATGCCCCAGCATTCCAGGGGAAGAATAATTTTACAAAATGAGTAAAACTCCCTGAATAGTCGCTGCCCGGTCCGGTCAACATGCGTGACCACATGATTTAGATCCTGCAACCAAAGGATGAGTACTGCTACATCCTGAAGAATTATAAGCCAATCACGCCGTTGTTTTGCCGATCGTGGAAGAATAAATATTCAAACTATTACCCTAAATTCGGGGTCCGAGACTCCTTGGAGTTTTGTGAGATGCGCACTTATAGACATCTCTAATAAGGGTAAAACAGCAGCACAGTGCATTCCAGCCTTTTAGCATATATTAACTTTACTCCATAGTTTCTTTATAGTGTCAGCAGGTAAACATTTTCACACAGCATGAAGTATTCAAAAGGGTTATAGGAAAACTCGGGCAATAATTTATGTGCAAAACCAAAGACAAACTGAATTCAAAACATGCGTTGCGGTATTCATTTACATTTTGGTTATAGCATTCTGAAATAAAATATATCTAGCCACCTACTTGGCCAATTTCAACTAGTAGAGCATAGTATAAAGATGTCTGCTGGATCTTTGTCTAAGTGGTGAATGTGAGAATTCGCATTTTGAAGAACAGTTTATTTGTGCATATCAGAAACACAGATATAACAATAATTACTGATATCTTTCTGGCAAAAATCAATCCATGTTAGCATTTGGCTTTTACAAAATGGAAACGTTTGGTTTCCAACCCGAAATTTCTTTCGGAATAATTATTAGTCAACCCAAGATTCAAAGTAATTGATCAAACAATTAATTTAATCACCCTGTAAACAATGAAATCTTTTGATAGGCAAAACTCAGTGGGATTCTTCCACAAAAAATTTGACTCATATTTGTTGCGTGTGCGAATGTTCCTGCAACACTGAGTCTGTAGGAATTTGCCACTCAAATTTTGCAGTAGAATTCTTCTCTAATTATTTAGGTTAGTGCAACATTTTTTGTTAGAAATAACGATGTCGATCAGTTTCGTTCATATCAACAACGGAGAGCTAGACCTCAACGCTCTGGATCCATTGGTATTTTGACGTCTGAAGGTATCAAGCACCAATCAGCTCCACTGAGGTTTGACCTGTAAACTTCCTGAATTTTTCTTTGGAAGGAACTATCAAAGCTAAAGCCGGTGGCGACAAAGTGGATTAACCACCCTTCCTAACAACTTATTCCGATTTTTGCCTATCTAGCTGTAGCTCCAGGATTAATGAAAAAAGCTAACTGTTCATGGTTTACT